TGGGAACTCGGGCAACTAAAATATCCAGATCTATCATAAAACACAGTGTTGACAATTAACCTGTCAAACGAGCCTAATTAAAGGAAAAACTGAGCGCGGAAAGCACAGACAGTTTTCTTCCTTAGACTGTTGTTATGGATGTACTCTTCACAGAACATCCAGCATTTGCTGAAACTCTCTGGGAATGCATTCTTAACCCAAACCCATAAAATACAGATTTCTGGAAAAAACTAATAAAAATAGTCACACACACAGAAAAAACAAAACATCATGAAGAGAATCACTGGAAAGATGAACTATTTTTAATAATATCTTATTTTGTTTCAAATGTCATCCAGACAAAATTCACAATGATGCTTTAAGTAAACCAGAAATAGTTCAGTAGACTCTGGATTTTAATATATATGGGGTTTTTTTTAAAAAGTTCTTTGCATTCTTGATTCTTGGTAACAGAATAAGGTATCAACACAATAGCCAAGAACAGAAAAGTAAAGATCACTCAGTAATACTTTACTTTTCACAGAGAACCCCAGTTGGAGTGAGTCCAGAGGAGGCCACGTAGATGCTCAGAGGGCTGGAGCACCTCTGCTATGGGGACAGGCTGAGAGAGTTGGGCTTGTTCAGCCTGGAGAAGAGAAGGCTCCGGGGAGACCTTATAGCAACTTCCAGTACCTGAAGGGGCTACAAGGAAGCTGGGGGGGGACTTTTTACAAGGGCCTGTAGTGACAGGACAAGGGGTAATGGGTTTAAACTGAAAGCGGGGAGGTTTAGATTGGATATCAGGAAGAAGTTCTTCACAGAGAGGGTGGTGAGGCACTGGAACAGGTTGCCCAGAGAAGCTGTGGATGCCCCATCCCTGGAAGGGTTCAAGGCCAGGCTGGACGAGGCTTTGAGCAACCTGGTCTAGTGGAAAGTGTCCCTGCCCATGGCAGGGGGGTTGGAACCAGATGGTCTTTAAGGTCCCTTCCGAGCCAAACCATTCTATGATTCTACGATCTTACCTGAGCGGCTCAAATACCAGACAGAGATGCTGTTTGTGGTAGAAATGCCTGAACAATCGTAGACAATGGAACTTGTCATCAGGATCTGCATCATTGAGCTTTTTCAAAAATTCCAGTTCTTTTAGGCCAGTTTTTTGCCTGAAAACCAATAAATACGATTAGAAAACAA